TCTCTTTTTTTTTTAGTAGAGGCAGGGTTTCACCATGTTGGCCAGGCTGGTTTTGAACCTCCTGACCTCAAGTACTCTGCCTGCCTTGGCCTCCCAAAGTGCTGGGATTACAGGCGTGAGCCACCTCATCTGGCTGCTTTTAAATAGTCTTTTTATAATCATTTAACAAAGAAGTAATTTAGTACAGCTAAAGATTCATGGTATTTATTTAATGCTAAAATGATGAATTCTCTTCCTTAATGAACTAAAAGTTATTATTCAAATCTAGAGAAGAAGAAGTTAGCCTACCTGAGTGTGATTGATTGTTATATGGTTGCCATGAAGAGGTGACTGGCGATCTTTCTCCTTACTGTGACGACTACTTTGTTTACTGCGTTGTAGCTGCTGCCTCAGTTTGGCGATCTGCTTTGGGGAGAGGGAAAGGGAACAAAGCAAGAAGAGAATAAAAGTGAATACCAAATTTTTATATTTATTTCTTCAGTTTGGGGGTATTGATTAAAAAATTTTCAAGTTTCTAAGAAGAGAGAATATTTCACCACAATGATTTACTCTCCCAAGTTTTTAGAATTAAGATTATTAAAAATGAGAAATAAATATATGCTACAATTGCTTCACTTTTACCAATTTGAATAGTGTTACTGGTAAATATGCTAACTACATTTCCCCAGATTATTTCAGATTTTACTTTTTTTAACACCAGAAATATCTTCCTTTTTGAAAACCTTTTATAAGATGAAAAATAATATTTCAAATGCCAACTGATTAAAGTTAAACCTGATCTTGAAACATAGGGACCACATTAGTTTCTAAGTTCCTGTCTTACATAAACAAAATGGATCTGGGTTTATCAGTTACTAAACACTAAAATTGTAAATCCCATGGTGTGGTGGAGAATCAAAGCTATTTGGTATTAGTAACTTATTAATATTTAATATATTACTACATCTTTAATCATTAAACCTTTAAAAACAAATATAATTTAGGGTATATTCTCCTAAATGGAAGGATCACACTTCCCTGGTTTCACAGAAAAGTCATTACTATAATATGACCTGGAATTAAACTACTTAACATGTTTTAGATGATGTAAAAAAAAATTCCTGAGCATTCATCATCACTGGTCATTAGAGAAATGCAAATCAAAACCACAATGAGACACCATTTCACGCCAGTTAGAATGGCAATCTTTAAAAAACTAGGAGACAACAGATGCTGGAGACGATGCAGAGAAATAGGAATTCTTTTACACTGTTGGTGGGAGTGTAAATTAGTTCAACTTGTGGAAGACAGTATAGTGATTCCTCAAGGATCTAGAACTAGCGATACCATTTGACCCAGCAATCCCATTACGGGGCACATACCCAAAGAATATAAATCATTCTATTATAAAGACATATGTACATGTATGTTTACTGCAGCACTGTTCACAATAGCAAAGACTTGGAGCCAACCCAAATGTCCATCAATGATAGACTGGATAAAGAACACGTGGCACATACACACAAAGGAATACTATGTAGCAATAAAAAAGGATGAGTTCATGTCCTTTGCAGGGACATGGATGAAGCTGGAAACCATCATTCTCAGCAAACATACACAAAACAGAAAACCAAACACTGCATGTTCTCACTCATAAGTGGGTACTGAACAATGAGAACACATGGACACAGGGAGGGGAACATCACACAATGGGGCCTGTTGGGGGGTGGGGGGCTAAGGGAAGGACAGCATTAGGAGAAATACCTAATGTAGATGATGGGTCGATGGATTCAGCAAACCACCATGGTACGTGCATACCTATGTAACAAACCTGTATGTTCTGCACGTGCACCCCAGAACTTAAAGTATAATAAAATAATAATAATAATAAAAATTCCAAGCATTTTTAAGGAAACCATTAACAATTTGGGGGAAGTCATTTAATATTATTTTCCTTGTAGAAAAGATGATGTTAATCAATAATTATTCCCTCAATCTACAATGAGCCCAGAGAGATACAATGTATTATAAAATTATCTAAATATTTACCTTGAATAACCATGGCAATATAAAGCACAATAGAAAATTACTATTAAATCCTATAAATGCTCAAAGGTAAAAGTACGTAAGTCGCTGAGAAAACTAATATTTGCCTGTGGTTAATAGAAGAGAAAATAATATAGAAGAAAATAAAGCACCCAAACAAGGAAGAATTTATATCCTTTCTTTTATACTTAGATCTTTAGATCCCTTTAGGTTTTTTAAAGCTCTATGTAGCTTATGGATCTCATAAAATGTGCTTGCAAAAAAAAAAAGATGTACAAACAAGATTATGTTAATATTTGTGTTCCCTCCTCTGTTGAACTGACACAACTTTCTTGCAGACAGCATTAGTTTTTTAAGAAAAAATTATAGTAATCAATATAAAATCAAGACAGATAACTCTCTATGATAAAAAATAAATAGGGCTGGGTGCAGTGGCTCACACCTGTAATCCTGGCACTTTGGGAGGCTGAGGCAGGTGGATCAGGAGTCCAAGACCAGCCTGGCCAACATGACAAAACCCCATCTCTACTAAAAAAACACAAAAATTAGCCAGGTGTAGTGGTGTATGCCTGCAGTCTTGGCTACTCGGGAGGCTGAGACACAAGAATGGCTTGAACCTGGGAGGCTGAGGTTGCAGTGAGCTGAGATACCATCAGGGCACTCCAACCTGGAGGACACAGTGAGACTCTGTCTCAAAAAAACAAAAAATGAAAAAAAAAAACCATGTAAAAGGAAATAAGTGATCCTGGGTCACAAGGAATAAATAATAACTGTACAGATAGTAATTAGCATAGTCACAAAGAAAAGATTAAAACATTTATGAAATTAAATGAAGAAAAAACAGAAACTGGACTCACTTAACATCTGAGAACCAGAAACACATTTTTTGAAAGCTTGGTAACATCATCTCTGTTTATTTGCCATTTTTCTCCTGTTTATTTCCCCCACTACTGATAACATCTAAAAGAAAATAAAAATACATATCATTCTCAGCAAACTGACACAAGAACAGAAAATCAAACACCTCATGTTCTCACTCATAGGAGGGTGTTGAACAATGAGAACCCGTGGACACAGGGAGAGCATCACACACTGGGGGTCTGCTGCGGGGGGCGGCTAGGGGAGGCACCGGGGGAGGGAGTGGTGGGGGACGGTGGGGAGGGATAACATGGGAAGAAATGCCAGGTATGGGAAGAAATGCCAGGTATAGGTGATGGGGGGATAGAGGCAGCAAACCACCTTGTCATGTATGTACCTATGCAACAATCCTGCATGATCTGAACATGTACCCCAGAACCTAAAGCACAATATAAATAAATACATAAAATAAAAATACAAAACCAAAACCAAAACCCTTACCCTCAAAAGACTGGTTGAGCACTTTTGCCTCAAGGACTGAAGAAGACCGAAATCTTTCTCAGAATGAATTATATTCCACCATAGGGCATGGAAATGGGAAATCTTAAAAGGACTAAGTGATGGCAATGAGAGAGGAAGTGGGATTTGGGGGCTTTGGGAAGAAAAAAAAAAAAAAGAAGGAAGCTAGCCTAAAATCAGGAAAAATGTTATAGGTTATCACTAGCAAGAGACCTGGTATTCTCAGTTAGTCCTTCTTATCCACAAGTACCACTGTACCACAGTTTAAACACAGCCATCAGAGATAGATGGAAAGTGCAGTAATTATTTATAATGTTAGGACAATATAGGAAGTATGCCACTGCTACCCTAAGACAGGTAAACAATATTTACTATAGAAAGGCCACCCATTACACACAGTGGTTAAGGTCTCTCTCTCTATCCCACTACTATAGGTTGGGTTATAACCAAGATTCCACAGAACAGTGTTTCAGTGGGAAAAACATAACCTGGGTGTGAGACATCTAACTGATAACCAGACTTTTAAGTGATAACCAACTCAAAACTAGAAAATTAATTTTGGCAGTTAGCTCCCCCCAACTTAAGAACAACCTTTTTAACGGAGAAAATCCAATGTATAAACTATAATAATTGGTATTCAATAGTTAGAAACTCATTATTTAAAGATAGCCTACCCTAGGGTGCCATCTTCGGTTTGCAGTTTGAATATTGAGCAAATATTAAGGCACCAGACTGAGGGGTAAATCGAGGCCAGACCAAGCTCTACTCAGCAAGCTGTAGCCATAGCAGAATATGCAGGCTACCTGAAAGAAGGCTTTTCCTTCGCTAAAAGACACTAACCTTTAAAAAAAAAAAATCTTATGCTAATGGGGCTGCAGATACTTAAGAGGGGGTGTTTTTATCTAATTCACACAAAGGTGACCTATAAGAGTAGTACCTGTCCAGAACATGGTGACTAAAGCTAAAATCCTATTTAACAGAAACCAAAAGTAACAGCTATGATTTTTTTCATCTTTGAAAAAGAAACTACCATTAGAATAAAAAGGCAGGCCATACACTGGGGAAAAGACATTTACAACACATATATCCAAAGAAGAATTCAAATCCACAATATGTAAAGAACACCTACAAAGCAATAAGAAAAAGACTAAGAGTAAACCAAGACTTTAACAGGTACTTAGCCAAAGAGAATATCCAAATGGTCAATATGCATTAAAAAAAGGTGTTCAACATCATTCTAATGAGGGAAATATAAATTAACACCCATCATAATGTCTAAACTTAAAAGACAACAAAATCAAATGATGACAAAGACATGAAACAACTGGAACTCTACTTCTGTTGCTAGAGGTGAAGGGTGTTCTTTTATTTTAACATAGTAGGTTTGAACATAGAAGATTTTCTGGGGAAATGCTTATACTCTCAATACTAGGTCACTGAAGGTAATAGCTGAAGAGCAGAAAGCAGTGACCTAACTCAAATGAGGCAAAAATTCTTAGTTCAGTTACCTGGAAGGAGAAATGAATGACATGCTCAAGGCTGTAATTAGGTTCTAAGGTTCCGAGTAGGAAACATCGCTAACAGAAGAGGGAATCATGCTGATTATTCAAGAGGGAATGAGCTACCGGAAAACAGAAGACCTCTGCAAATATACAACTATGATGTCTATTTCTGTTAATAACATTTCTAACAATTAACAGACATTAGAACACACCCTCTTTGTGTAAAGAGATATTCCTATAATAGAAATTTATCCATTGCCAAGTGCAGGTAATACAATTTAAAACAAATTATAATTCAGCATGCTGAAAATGCTCTGATGATGCACATTCTGCCTAATAACATATTCTTTCCAGTAATTATTAAGAGTAATTATAGGCCAGTTTGTTTGATGACAGTGCCAATTAACAATAGAAAAGCATCATTAAAATTTGCCTATCTCATTATTTATTACTAGCATTGTACAAGGCACTCTGCTACTTGCTTTTATGTGAATTATCTCA